TCGGTGGGGCCGTGGGTCGGTGGGGCCGTGGGTCGGTGGGCGCGGGCGGCCGTGGGGCGGCGGCGGCGGCGGCTGCTGCTGCAGCGGGAGGGGCGGGGGCGGGGGAGGGGCGGGGGGAGGGGCCGGAGGGGAGGGGCCACGCGCGACCCACGAGGGGGAACCCACAGACCCCCCGGCGGGGGGCGGGGGGAGCCCCACGGAGCCCCCACAGGGAGCCACGGCAGCCCCACGGAGCCCCAGAGAGATTCCCTCAGAACCCACGGGGACCCACGGACACCCTCAGGGGGGTCGGGGGAGCCCCGCAGGGACCCTCAGAGATGTCCCCCGTGACCCAGTGAGCCCCACGGACACCCCAGGTGGCCCCACAAGAGACCGACAGGGACCCACAGGGGTCGGTGGAGCCCCAGAGCAGCCTCACAGAGACCCCCAGACACCCCCACGGGCACCCCTGAGGACACACAGGGGGCGGGGCAGCCCCACAGAGCCCACCTTGTGACCCACAGAGCCCCACAGAACCCCACAGGGACCCACGGGGGTCAGTGGAGCCCCAGAGCAGCCCCACAGAGTCTCCCTCATGACCTACAGAGCCCATGGAGACCCCCCAGTGTCCCCCCAGCAGCCCCAGGCCCCCATCCCGGGGTCACCCCCCCTTGTCCTGCCCCACGGCGTCATCGTGATCCACGTCCTGCCCCACCGGTGCCCCCCAGGGCTGGGGGGCTGCAGCCCCCACACCTCCCTCGTGCCCCACACGTGTGTGCAAACACCGGGGACCCTCCTGAGCCTGGAGGGTGGGGGGACATGGGGGGAAAGGGGGCACAGAGGGACAGGGACCCCGTGCAAGAGACACGCGTGTCCCGCGTGAGGCACAGGGAGCCACGAAGACCCCCACGTGGGGGACACGCGTGTCCCACGTGACACACATGAGACACCTCCGACCCCACGTGCAACAGCCCTGGGGGCACAGAGTCCTCGTGCAAGGGACAAGGGCCGTGGACACCCACAGGAGGGACACACCCCCCACACGTGTCCTGTGGGACACGCAAGACCACACGGCCCTCGTGTGAGGGACACGCGTGTCCTGTGTGACACGTGAGATCACACGGCCCTCGTGTGAGGGACACGCGTGTCCTGTGTGACACATGAGATCACACGGCCCTCACGTGAGGGACACGCGTGTCCTGTGTGACACGTGAGATCACACGGCCCTCGTGTGAGGGACACGCGTGTCCTGCGTGACACGTGAGATCACACGGCCCTCGTGCAGGGGACACGCGTGTGACACACGAGGCCACCTGAGACCACACGGGGCCACCTGCCCCCTGTGCACGCTCCTGGGGATCGCAGGGTCCTCGTGAGAGGGGCACGGGCTCCTCCTGGTGTGAGGGACCCCCACGCTCCCCCCAGTCTCTCTGCACCCCTCAGTGCCCCCCACTCACACCCGGCACAGCTGGGCCCCCCAGA